TCTCTCTGCTTAAATTCACCCCCCTCCCCCCTCTCTCCCCCTCCCCTCTCTGAAATAGATGGGCCCATGAAGCCTGTGGTTTACTTTGTTTAGCCAGTAGTACCTGTAGGCACTTGCTGTCTGTCCCTGTGCTCCAGCCATCTCATTTGTTGGCTCTGTTGCTGTCTAGCAGGAGGAGGCCCCACATCTTAGGGTAGGCTTCTGCACACAGGCCTTGTGCCCATCTGCCAGTGTTTCTTTATAATTAGTTTCGAGAAGTTGAGTTAATTATATGCTTAAACTATTAGTGGCCCTCACCAAGTGCTGGTGGCTTACACCTATGATCCTAGCTAGTCAGAAGGCTGAGATCTGATGATTGAGGTTCGAACCCAGCCAAGGCAGGAAATTCTGTGAGACTCTTATCTCCAGTAAATTACTCAGAAAAACCTGGAAGTAGCACTGAGCTCCAGTGGTAGAGTTCTAGCTTTGAGCACAAGCAGCTCAGGGACAATGCCCAGACCCTGAATTCAAGTTCCATGACTGACTGGCAAAATAAATAAATAAGTTAATGAATGAATTAATTAATGGCCCTCCCCAAAGGCTGCTCAAATGAACACTAAAGCCAACTGTGTGTGACACCAGTAAGTGAACCAGAACACACTTGCTCCAGCTTTTCCAAAGCATAGATATTTTTTGCTTACTGTTACAGTGATTGAATGTAGACCTTCAAAGCCCTTGGCCACTTGAGCCACTACACCAGTTTGTCAATGCACAGATTTTTGTTTTCTTTATTTTTCAAAAAAGTAACTTGAAGCACATGATAGATATATACTGATCAGTTTGGACTTTATCTTGGGTCAGGAGAGAGCCATGGAAGAATTTTAAGTAGGGGAGAGATATATTCAAACTTGGATTTAGAAATAAATATACTTAGCCTAAATTTTATATTTCTGGTCCATTTTTTAAAAGAATAACTTTCATTACAGAAGAGAGAGTTCACCAACTGATGCTAGTGGCTTGCACCTGTAATCCTAGCTAATTAGGAGGCTGAGATCTGAGGATCATAGTTTGAAGCCAGCCCAAGCAAGAAAGTCTGTGAGACTTTTTATCTCCAATTAACCAGCACAAAGCTAGAAGTAGAGGTGTGATTCAAGTGGTAGAGCTCTATGCAGCATCCTGAGTTCATGTATTGGCACACACAAAAAGAACATTTTATTGTTAGGGAATCAGAAAGTACAGAGAAATCAAAAAGGGTTTTTGTTTGTTTGTTTTTTAATTACCATGCACATTACATTTTGGTATACCATCTAATATTTTCATGGCACGTACATATACAGGTTTTAAAATCCAAAAGATAATGTGTCCTCAGTAGAAGAGGTTGTTCACTGTTTACTGAATAAATGCTTTAGCAATGTTGAGTATTTCTGGTTTTTTCCCTGAATATTTCCATTTTTGCTGTTACAAATTTAAAAAAAAAAGCAGTAGTGAGCATCTTTGTACCTCAGACTTTTTCTGTAGTTGGAATTATTTCCAAAAGTGCCTCTTTTTTTTTTTTTTTTGGAGGTTCTGAGGATGGAACCCATAGCCTATGTATGCTGGGCGAGTATTCTACCACTGAACTATAGTAACAGTCCATAAAGTGCTTCTTTTATGAATTCAGTTTAGTCTAAGTTACTTACAACAGTTTATACATACACAAGCTCCTTCAGTTACCCCTGAGTAATAATTTGTGACTGGGAAGAAGTTCAGAGAGGCAAACTTGGCCTGAGTCACACAGCTGGACCTCTGTGCTGAACCAGCCACTGTAGCTTCTCTCTCCTAATCCCCAATCTGTGTCTTCCCAGGTCTGGGACTCTCCTCCCGGACCCCGGCTGTGAGTACATCCGAGTCGAGCACCGGCAATGGCACAGGCACCGGCACCGGCACGGGTACCAGCACCCCGTCCACACCCACCACCACCAGCCAGAGCCGCCTCATCGCCTCATCCCCCACCCTCATCTCAGGGATCACCAGCCCCCCCCTCCTGGACTCCATCAAGACAATCCAGGGCCATGGCTTGCTTGGCCCCCCGAAGTCTGAACGCGGCCGCAAAAAGATCAAGGCGGAGAACCCGGGGGGTCCCCCTGTCCTTGTTGTCCCCTACCCCATCCTGGCCTCAGGAGAGACCGCCAAGGAGGGCAAGACATACAGGTGGGAGTCTCCTTGGGATGGGGTCTGGGCAGACTGGGGTAGAGGCTTTCCAGGGCTGGAAAGGGTGTCCGAGGCCTGAGAGTGAGGGCTATAGTCCAGAGGTGTGGGATGGAGTCCCACCCCCACTTCAGGCCATGTGGAAGAGGTGGTCAGTGGTTTAGCATCCTAGTCCATGCATTCTGAGCTAACTTGTTGGAGGTGCAGGCCCAAGGATATCAGGCATCTGTATTTGTTGAAACTGCACAGGGATTGTCATGTGCAGCCAGGTGGGGATTATTGATCATGAGAGCCTCTTCTCCTGGCACCATGGTGTGGCTGGGCACCAGCTTCCCTGGGACCTTGGAGTCTGCCTTCCTAAGATTGAGGAGCAGGGAGCTTCAGATATCTCCCCAAGCTGTCAGCGCACACGGTGCCTTGGCTGCCCCCAGAGCCACCTGGGTTCCTTTGCCAGCAAGCTCTGACCCGTGTCCAGGGTATCCCTGATACGGAAGACCTTCCCCCAAGGTATACACTAGAGGCTGGGGGTTTTCCTCTCGGGCACAACCCTGCCTCTTGTTGCACAGGTGTAAGGTGTGTCCGCTGACCTTTTTCACCAAGTCTGAGATGCAAATCCACTCCAAGTCGCACACAGAGGCCAAGCCCCACAAGTGCCCGCACTGCTCCAAGTCTTTTGCCAACGCTTCCTACCTGGCCCAGCACCTGCGCATCCACCTGGGCGTCAAACCCTACCACTGCTCCTACTGTGACAAGTCCTTCCGACAGCTCTCCCACCTCCAGCAGCACACCAGGTAGGTGCTTACCCTGGAGCCCAGCCTCTGTGGCCTGGTGCATAGAGCAAGGGGGGCAGAGACCTCTAGGTACCTGTTGCCCCACCATCAAGAATACATTTGTCTGGGGAATTTCCTCAAGGCTGTGTTTGATCCAGGCCGTGCCAAACTCATTGAGTGCAGCTCTCACCACTCCCAGCCTCCTCTGCTCCTGGCCTTTATAACTGCCGTGTCCTTCACCTGAAGCAGCCTGTTTCCCCAGCCAGCTTCTGGTCCTTGCAGCTGGGTGTGGGGCCTTGCCTCTGTGTGCCCACAGGCCCTGTGGGTCCCCATCACAGCAATGATGGGACTGTCTGTCATGTACTTCCTGTGTGTTTTCCACTTTCTCCCACGTATTGGGATCTCTTGTTGTTGACAACACTGAAGTTTAGACTCAGAACCTCCCGTTTACTAGGCATCTGATAAACCATTTTAGTCACACCCCAGCCCTTTTATTTTTTTTATTTTTTTATTTTTTGGGTCTGGTCGTGGGGCCTGAACTCTGGGCCTGGGTGCTATCCCTCAGCTCTTCAGCTCAAGGCTAGCCCTCTACCACTTGAGCCACAGCGCCACTTCCAGCTTTTTTCTTTTTTTGCTTATATGGTGCTGGGCATCGAACCCAGGGCCTCAGGCATGCAAGGCAAGCGCGCTCTACCACTGAGCCACCTTCCCAGCCCTTTTTTTTTTTGGTCCGGTTGTGGGGCCTGAACTCTGTGCCTGGGCGCTGTCCCTCAGCTCTTCAGCTTCAAGGCTAGCGCTCTACCACTGGAGCCACAGTGCCACTTCCGGCTTTTTTCATTTTGCTTATGTGGTGCTGAGGAATCGAACCCAGGGCCTCAGGCATGCAAGGCAAGCGCTCTACCACTGAGCCACCTTCCCAGCCCCCCCCCAGCCCTTTTAAAAAAATCCTAGTAGGAGTTTCTCATTTTTGCCTCACATTGCAATCTTCCTACCTATGCCTTTTCCATGGTTGGAATTACAGTTGCATTCCACCATGACTAGCTTATGTATTGAGATGGGGGTCTTGCTAGCTTTTTGCCTTGACTAGCCCCAAACTATGTTCCTCTCCATCTCTGCCTCCCACATAGTTAGGATTACATGCATGAGCCGCTGTGCTCCTACCATGTGTTGGCATTTGTTAAAAGTAGAGCTCTGTCCTGAGCAGAGGATCATCCATTTAACAAATGTTTACAGAGTCCCCACACTGTGCCAGACAATATTCTAGGCAGGAGACAACCAGGAACAAAACAGACAAAACTCCCATCCTGTGGGGCTTAGGTCTGGCTGAGTGTGTGGAAAGAAGACTCAAAGAAAGAAATACTTTATGGGAAGAAAATCTTGTGCAAGAGAGTATAGACATCAGAAGACTATACAAATGAAAATACTGTAAGTATTTATAGAAGCGAACCAAAGGTTTCTAAGATTGCACTTGCTCTGTCGGGAGGGCAGTCTGCTCTCACGGTTATCATCTCTGACAGCAGGGTCCTGTTTGCCCTTGTCTGCAGGTTTGGAGTCAAGGAGGGAAAGTGTTGCTGTGGAGTTGGGAACTTATTGACAGGACTTTTGAGGGATGGACACACTATAGAAGGACTCCATGTTGTTGTGGTTGTTAGTTTTCATTTATTCCATTGCCTTTGCAGCCTTTATCCTAGGGTGCAAATTGGCTTACCTTGCTGTTTCTCTGACTTTGGGCCTAATAATAGGTAGGTTTGGAAGAAACCCTGAACAGCAGAATGGCCACAGGGCAGGCGCTGTCCGTCTCCTTTCTTATTTCTGGCTTTCTAAGGCATGTCTTTGACCTCACAACTTTTTGTCAGCAATTTTCTGATTTCGACATTACTTGTTTATTTTTAGTTTGGTCAGTGTAATATGCATACATATATCCACAATGTTGATTGAGAATTACAGCACATGATATGACACAGAGTCTATCAGGAGACTCTTTAAAGCCTTGAAATAAAACTTTAACTCTGTGTGTGTGTGTGTGTGTGTGTGTGTGTGTGTGTTTAATTTTTTTTTTCACTTCTGCCAGGTGGTGCTTCAGTACAGGTAGGTCCCTCTTTCTGAATAATACTCTAGGGGGCTGGGAAGGTGACTCAGTGGTAAAGCGCTTGCCTTGCATGCGTGAGGCCCTGGGTTCGATTCCTCAGCACCACATAAGCAAAAAGAAAAAAAAAATCCTCTGGTTTGTCAATACTCCCAGAAAAGCAAAAATTGATTTTTTAAAAATCACCTTCAAGGCTGCAATTCCACAAGCCTGGAACAGGTCCCATTGTTGGCTGGAGGTCTGGGGGGCCTCGTTCTCACGTATGAAGTACCATCTTATCAGGCTTGTTGTGCTTAATTGAATAAAATTTGTCTTTAAATGTGTCATTTCTGGCACAGTCATGGTTGCAAATTTGATTTGCCCAATTATATCCTATTAGGAAGGGCAGATTCTTATTGAGTCTGTTTATAAAACTAATGGATATGCAAAGGGCCTCATGGAAGGTACTGTGTATGTTTTTATTTAGTAATTATTCTGTTATTTTTAGATAAGCCCATATATGTAGTTTATTTTTAAATTTCTTTAATAATTTATTAATGTATATTTGTGCTTTTTGCTCAAGGTTAGTGCTTTGCCACTTAAGCCACACCTCCACTTCAAGCTTTTTGGTGATCAGTTGGAGAAAGGAGTCTCATGTACTTTCCCATCTGGGCTGGCTTTGGACCATAATCTTTAGATCTCACCCTCTGGAGTTGGAGTATCTAGGATTATAGGCATGAGCCATCAACACCCAGCATATGTTAAATATTCATAGCTCCTTTCCCCCACCCTCCTATGAATTTTGAAGGGCTCTTTGGAATATGATGCTGTTGAGGGAATATATATTTTTTTCTTTTTGTTAACTATAACCTCCTATAAACTGAGGATTAGAGACAGACCAAATGATAAAAGGGTTTCTCAAATGCCCTTTGGAAAATGAAACAGCAGCTATAGTGAAGAAACTTTCGTCCAGTCCTGGGTGATAATTCCTGCTGCTCTGGCCCATGGAGCCAGCCTTCACTTAGTTGTCTGCTTCTGCAATCTTGCCATGGCCTCTACTGGTGTCTGGTCTAGCTGGGCTGTGATGTCAGTTTCTAAGCTTGAGCCCATTAGTCTCCTGTAGTGCCCAGCCCTCTCTGAGGCTGTCCTTGTCTTGTCCTTTCTGAAGGCTTACTGTTTTACCTCCAGATCAAAGTAAAGGCCCTAAGGCAAATGTGAGGTCCGGAGAGAGACTGGTAAATAAAGCTGAATGACTGTGGCCAATTTATTGTAATCATCAACAGCATCAGAATAGAGGGGAAAAGAGCCCACTATCCAGGTTTAGTACATGATCAATCTCTCAGGATACAGGCATATCATATTATAGGCAGCTAGGGTATTAGCTGGTCTGCAGTCCTTTAATTTATCCCATAAAACTAATAGATAATTGATCAGGGCAATTTCAATCTAGAGATACATTTTGTTGGTTTTTTTTGCATTGCTGAGGATTGAACCCAAGGCCTTGTGTAGCTGTATCTCAACTGGAGACTGTATTTATATTCTCTGTCCTGGTCCTGGTTGAATTCAGGTGCTGTCCCTGAGCTTTTGTGCTCAACCTAATACTCTACTACTTGAGCCTCAAGAACTTTCCTGGCCCTCCTAGCTTTGAAGTGCAATGCTCAGATCTTAGCCTCCTAAGTAGCTAGGATTACAGGCATGAGCCAAGGCTAGCACTCTACCACTTGAGCCACAGGACCACTTCTGGCTTTTTCTGTTTATGTGGTACTGAGGAATGGAACCCAGGGCTTCATACATGCTAGGCAAGCACTCTACTACTAAGCCACATTCCCAGCCCTGGAGACAATATTTTTAAAGAGGGTTTTCCAGATACTTATATTTTAGAGTCTGTACATTAAAATAGTATTTTTGTGTTTATCTTCAAAATGCACAAAATAGGCTTCTGTGAGATACATATATTTAAACACACACTTATATGTGTATAGAATTAATCCTTGGAGACTAAACTGTTCTTTTTTGATTTGTGCTCTGTATGTGTGTGTGTGTGTGTGCGTGTGCGTGTGCATGTGTGCATGCGCGTGCGCATGCATGTGTGCGCACTGGTCCTTGGGCTTGAGTTCAGGGCCTGGGTCTATCCCTGAGCTTCTTTTGTTCAAGGCTTGAACAGCAACTCTACTTTTGTCCTTTTAGTTTAGTAGAGATAAGAGTTTTATGACTGTTTTTGCTTTGAGGTTGGTTTTGAACCACAATCCTCAGATTTCCTGAGTAGCTAGGATTACACGTGTGAGCCACCAGAGTCTAAGCAGTTTGTCATATTTTGTGTGTGTACCAGTACTGGGGCTTGAATTCAGGACCTGGGCGCTGTCCTTTAGCTTTTTTCCTCAAGGCTGGCACTCTACCACTTGAGCCACAGCTCCACTTCTGGCCTTTTGATGGTTAATTAGAGATAAAGGTCTCGGGGATTTTTCTGCCTAGGCTAGCTCCAAACTGGTGTGATCCTCAGCTCCTAGCCTCCTGAATAGTTAAAATTACAGGTGTGAGCTACCTGGCTCAATTTGTCACCTTTTTAAAATACAAGCTTCACAGGGCAGTGGTTACTTTAACGTTGGTATAATTGAAGTTAGGGAGATAAGAAAACAGCCCAACTACCCTGAGCATCCCTCATTTTCTGAAGCAAGGGCTCCTATCTTGGGTGTGGTCCACTGAGCATCTGGGAAGTTTGTGAGCGCTTGCCTATAAAAGACACCTTGGTAATTGCCTTGTTCTATCTAGGGTTGGATTTGAGAAAGGCACTGCACACAGCTGGCAGAAAGGCAAGACAGGAGAATTAATCTGGTTGGAAATAGACACAATGCCAAGTAATCATAATGATTAAGGATTCTCTTGGTGTTTTTCAGTAGTAGACTTTAAAAATATCATTAAAAAAAATCTGTAATCTCCTGAAGGAAAGTATTCTGCC